GTTTGTCCTCTACGCGGCCCATTATATGAATAGAATCGCGCTTCGCTTGATTCAAGCGAAGGATAGAACAAGATTGATTTGACGACCGTTAAAGTCTACGGATTCTCCATCCACTTTGATAGAAATGTGAATACTTTCTACTAGGTCATTAGACAAGTCRTAGCTCAAAGAAATGGGTGCGTATTCTACCAGGTCAAATGGATTACCCTTAGGCGGAAACTTGAACATTAGATTGCTGGGTCCTTCATTAAAGTATGAGCTTACCAGGCTGCAGTGAACTTCGTAGTTAGCGGGGACTTTCCATTTTACGTCAAGTTGACCATTGATTGTGGTACTAGTAAGGCCCAGGAATTCTACCAACGGACTGCCCGTAAGATTGGCACTCCCACTATTTTTCTTGAATGTCATTTCATAGGGCAATCCTGTGGTAAGAGTATATCCATGCTTTGCTAGCTCCTTAGCCAGTGTTATAGGGGTGTAATGGGAATCTGGCAACTTTGGCTTGTTGGCACCCACAACGACAAAGCCGCCAATCAAATTGTACCAAGAATTGTATAAAGAGCAACTAACCAGCCGAACTTTATGTGCTTTGATGGGGGGATTCAAATAAGTGGTAAAGTCATTCTTGTCGCTTTCCAAAAAGACGATCATTATATATTAGACGCTCATGCTTCACGCAAAATACGCCAAAGCTACGCCTCCCGCCAGCCCTGCGACTCCTACAAAGATCAACTCATTGTCTTTTTGTTTCTTAGAAGGCTGGTAGTAATTCTTAAACTGAGGCTTTCTCAACCCCGTCGATGCCGCGGGGTGCGCCTGTGCATAGAGCTTAAAGGCGTAGTCTGTGTTTTCGAAGTTCTTATCCGCCTGCATTTTGTCTTGGTAGTTCTTGTCCAACCAATCCCTGTAAGCTTGTCTTCTTTCATCCCAAGCTGCCACGTCCCTTTGATATTTCTCCAGCGCTAAGTCGTGTCTCTTCCTCTCAGCGGCCAAATCTCCGCTTTTGTCGCCTCTGACTAATCTATCCAAATACTGACCGCCATAATTAGCTCCAGTGAATGCTAAAGCTGCGATAACTCCGCCTGCGATTAAACTAGCCATTTATACATTAGGCAGGTACTTTTCCTTCCGTAGGTAATCCTTTACCATGATAGCCCC